CCCTGGGTTCCTCCTAATGCAAGACAATGCTAGACCTCATGTGGCTGGAGTGTGTCAGCAGTTCCTGCAAGAGGAAGGCATTGATACTATGGACTGGCCCGCCCGTTCCCCAGACCTGAATCCAATTGAGCACATCTGGGACATCATGTCTCGCTCCATCCACCAACGCCACGTTGCACCACAGACTGTCCAGGAGTTGGCGGATGCTTTAGTCCAGGTCTGGGAGGAGATCCCTCAGGAGACCATCCGCCACCTCATCAGGAGCATGCCCAGACGTTGTAGGGAGGTCATACAGGCACGTGGAGGCCACACACACTACTGAGCCTCATTTTGACTTGTTTTAAGGACATTACATCAAAGTTGGATCAGCCTGTAGTGTGGTTTTCCACTTTAATTTTGAGGGTAACTCCAAATCCAAACCTCCATGGGTTGATACAAATTATCAATGGAAATCAAATGTATGTGATTTTGTTGTCAGCACATTCAACTATGTAAAGAAAAAAGTATTTAATAAGATTATTTCATTCATTCAAATCTAGGATGTGTTATTTTAGTGTTCCCTTTATTTTTTTGAGCAGTGTATATACAGTGAGGGAAAAAAGTATTTGATCCCCTGCTGATTTTGTACGTTTGCCCACTGACAAAGAAATGATCAGTCTATAATTTTAATGGTAGGTTTATTTGAACAGTGAGAGACAGAATAACAACAAGAAATCCACAAAAACGCATGTCAAAAATGTTATAAATTGATTTCCATTTTAATGGGGGAAATAAGTATTTGACCCCGTCTCAATCAGAAATATTTCTGGCTCCCAGGTGACTTTTTATACAGGTAACAAGCTGAGATTAGGAGCACACTCTTAAAGGGAGTGCTCATAATCTGTTTGTTACCTGTATAAAAGACACCTGTCCACAGAAGCAATCAATCAATCAGGTTCCAAACTCTCCACCATGGCCAAGACCAAAGAGCTCTCCAAGGATGTCAGGGACAAGATTGTAGACCTACACAAGGCTGGAATGGGCTACAAGACCATCACCAAGCAGCTTGGTGAGAAGGTGACAACAGTTGGTGCGATTATTCACAATTGGAAGAAACACAAAATAACTGTCAATCTCCCTCGGCCTGGGGCTCCATGCAAGATCTCACCTCGTGGAGTTGCAATGATCATGAGAACGGTGAGGAATCAGCCCAGAACTACACGGGAGGATCTTGTCAATGATCTCAAGGCAGCTGGGACCATAGTCACCAAGAAAACAATTGGTAACACACTACGCCGTGAAGGACTGAAATCCTGCAGCGCCCGCAAGGTCCCCCTGCTCAAGAAAGCACATATACAGGGCCGTCTGAAGTTTGCAAATGAACATCTGAATGATTCAGAGGAGAACTGGGTGAAAGTGTTGTGGTCAGATGAGACCAAAATTGAGCTTTTTGGCATTAACTCAACTCGCCGTGTTTGGAGGAGGAGGAATGCTGCCTATGACCCCAAGAACACCATCCCCACCGTCAAACATGGAGGTGGAAACATTATGCTTTGGGGGTGTTTTTCTGCTAAGGGGACAGGACAACTTCACCACATCAAAGGGACGATGGACGGGGCCATGTACCGTCAAATCTTGGGTGAGAACCTCCCTCAGCCAGGGCATTGAACATGGGTCGTGGATGGGATTCCAGCATGACAATGACCCAAAACACACGGCCAAGGCAACAAAGGAGTGGCTCAAGAAGAAGCACATTAAGGTCCTGGAGTGGCCTAGCCAGTCTCCAGACCTTAATCCCATAGAAAATCTGTGGAGGGAGCTGATGGTTTGAGTTGCCAAACGTCAGCCTCGAAACCTTAATGACTTGGAGAAGATCTGCACAGAGGAGTGGAACAAAATCCCTCCTGAGATGTGTGCAAACCTGCTGGCCAACTACAAGAAACATCTGACCTCTGATTGCCAACAAGGGTTTTGCCACTAAGTCATGTTTTGCAGAGGGGTCAAATACTTATTTCCCTCATTAAAATGCAAATCAATTTATAACATTTTTGACATGCGTTTTTTTGGATTTTTTTGTTGTTATTCTGTCTCTCACTGTTCAAATAAACCTACCATTAAAATTATAGACTGATCATGTCTTTGTCAGTGGGCAAACGTACAAAATCAGCAGGGAATTAAATACTTTTTTCCCTCACTGTATGTAGATATAGGGGTCAAAATTATTGACAACCCATAAAGATTATTTCTAAATAAAATAGTAAAAAGTTTAGTATTTGGTCACATATTCCTAGCATGCAATGATTACATTAAGCTTGTGACTCATTTGCTGTTTGTTTTGGTTGTGTTTCAGATTATTTTGTTCCCAATAGAAATTAATGGTAAATAATGTATTTTGTCATTTTGGATTCACTTTTATTATAAATAGGAACGGAATATTTTTCTAAACACTTCTACATTAATGTGAATGCTACCATGATTACAGAAAATCCTGAATGAATTGTGAATAATGATGAGTGAGAAAGTTAGAGGGTCAAAGGTCATACCCCCAAGACATAATCTTGATTATTGTCCAGTCGTGTGGTCCAGTGCTGCAAGGAAAGACCTAGTTAAGCTGCAGCTGGCCCAGAACAGAGCGGCACGTCTTGCTCTTCATTGTAACCAGAGGGCTGATATAAATACTATGCAAGAGCCAGTCTCTCTTGGCTAAAAGTTGAGGAGAGACTGACTGCATCAGTTCTTCTTTTTATAAGAAACATTAATTGTTTGCATAGTCAACTTACACACAGCTCTGACACACACACTTACCCCACCAGACATGCCACCAGGGGTCTTTTCACAGTCCCTAAATCCAGAACAAATTCAAGAAAGCGTACAGTATTATATAGAGCCATTATTGCATTGAACTCCGTTCCAACTCATATTGCTCAAATAAACAGCAAACCTGGTTTCAAAAAACAGATAAAGCAACACCTCACGTCACAACGCCTCTCCCCTATTTGACCTAGATAGTTTGTGTGTATGTATTGATATGAAGGCTACGTGTGCCTTAAAAAAAAAAAAAATGTAGTTCTGTCCTTGAGCTGTTCTTGTCTGATAATGTTCTGTATTATGTCATGTTTCATGTTTTGTGTGAACCCCAGGAAGAGTAGCTGCTGCTTTTGCAACAGCTAATAGGGATCCTAATAAAATACCAAATACCAAATGCTAACCTCTCACCATAACCAATAACAGGGGAGGTTAGCATTTCTTAGGGGTATGATCTTTGACCATATGTAACATTTATCAATAAAAGTGACTCAAAAATGACCAATACATTATTTACCATGCATTTTATATTGGACACAAAATAATCTGAAACGCAACCTAAATTAACTGCAAATGTATCCAACCAACAAGTTTGTAGAGCCACAAGCTTGATGTAGTCAGTGAGTAAGATTACATGCACACAATAATGTGATTATTGTGGACAGTCAGATTAATATAATAGTTTGTTTAAAATGTTTAAATGCTTTGCTAGAAGAATGATTTCCCTAATAATGCTGTTTCCATGGACACATCTGAAATCATGCTACCTGATGGTACTTTGATAAATGCAGGAAATCGTCAATCAAAATAAACGTTCTACCACAGCGACCATGTTATTTTTGGGAAGTATATTTGATTCTTAGTTCGGACATATAACGTTTGTATGTGAAAACTATTTCTAAAGCGCATACACTGTTGTTCTGAACTCACTTCACTCGTGCTAAAGAGGGAGGCTTGCGCTACCAGTGCTGGCACAAATACACCGCTGGAACGCCGATTTAAGATGTTTACCTAATAATTTGAAAGATGCTCAGAAAAGCAGGTGTTTTAATCGGCTTACTTCCATTATGACCTTCCACCGATTTTAAGATGAGCAGAGGTAAGGTGTTTACATGACTAATGCCATAATCAGTTTAATATTGAATTATTCCTGTGCATGTAAACGTACTCATTGCATGCTATGAATACAGTGGGGAGAACAAGTATTTGATACACTGCCGATTTTGCAGGTTTTCCTACTTACAAAGCTTGTAGAGGTCTGTCATTTTTATCATAGGTACACTTCAACTGTGAGAGACGGAATCTAAAACAAAAATCCAGAAAATCACATTGTATGCTTTTTAAGTAATTAATTTGCATTTTATTGCATTACATAAGTATTTGATCACCTACCAACCAGTAAGAATTCCGGCTCTCACAGACCTGTTAGTTTTTCTTTAAGAAGCCCTCCTGTTCTCCAAATGACAGACCTCTACATGCTTTGTAAGTAGGAAAACCTGCAAAATCTGCAGTGTATCAAATACTTGTTCTCCCCACTGTATGAGACCAAATACTAAACTTTCGACTACTTTATTTATAAGAATCTTTAGGAGTGTCAATAATTTTGACCCCTACCTTTTTGAGGAAAAAAATATTACTTAGTAAACAAAATCTCTTTCTCTGGGCGATTGTATTAGTATGAAATAATATAATTTCCCAATTTTTTGGTACATACTATATAGCTCAGCATTTATTTTATACACTCATTATTGGTCATCTTTTTTAAGGGTGTCAATAATTTTGGACCCCACTGTATGTCCTGAATTCTTGTGCGTATTAACGTGTGTGTGTGTGCGTTAACATCATTTACATTTTAGTCATTTAGCAGACGCTCTTATCCAGAGCGACTTACAGTTAGTGCATACATTATTTTATCGAACCCACAACCCTGGCGTTGCAAACGCCATGCTCTACCAACTGAGCTATATCCCCTGACGGCCATTCCCTCCCCTACCCTGGACGATGCTGGGCCAATTGCGCGCCGCCCCATGGGTCTCCCGGTCGCGGCCGGCTACGACAGAGCCTGGATTCGAACCAGGATCTCTAGTGGCACAGCTAGCACTGTGATGCAGCGCCTTAGACCACTGCCCCACTCGGGAGTGTGTACATGTGTGTGTGTGTTAACATGCGTGTGTGTGTCTCCCTCCGTGCAGGCGGTGTTACAGACGTGTGGTCAGTTGGAGTTAGAGGTGCGTCCTCTTTTCCTGGTCCCCGACACCAACGGCTTCATCGATCACCTCACCGGCCTCAAGACACTACTGCAGTCTAGGACTTACATACTGGTGGTGCCCCTCATAGGTAACTAACACACTACATACACACAGGCTTCATCGACCACCTCGACACTCTCTCTCTCTCTCTCTCTCTCTCTCTCTCTCTCTCTCTCTCTCTCTCTCTCTCTCTCTCTCTCTCCCCCTCTCCCCCTCTCTCTCTAGTCGGAGTGCATGATGGGAGGGAGTCGGGAAGCAGGAGCGATTGTGGGAGCGACTGAAATTTTTTCACTCTATTGGATATCTGTGTTTTCAGGGTGTGTGTAAATACAGTGGGGGGAAACAAGTATTTAGTCAGCCACCAATTGTGCAAGTTCTCCCACTTAAAAAGATGAGAGAGGCCTGTAATTTTCATCATAGGTACACGTCAACTATGACAGACAAAATGAGAGAGAAAAAATCCAGAAAATCACATTGTAGGATTTTTTATGAATTTATTTGCAAATTATGGTGGAAAATAAGTATTTGGTCAATAACAAAAGTTTCTCAATACTTTGTTATATACCCATTGTTGGAAATGACACAGGTCAAACGTTTTCTGTAAGTCTTCACAAGGTTTTCACACACTGTTGCTGGTATTTTGGCCCATTCCTCCATGCAGATCTCCTCTAGAGCAGTGATGTTTTGGGGCTGTCGCTGGGCAACACAGACTTTCAACTCCCTCCAAAGATTTTCTATGGGGTTGAGATCTGGAGACTGGCTAGGCCACTCCAGGACCATGAAATGCTTCTTACGAAGCCACTCCTTCGTTGCTCGGCCGGTGTGTTTGGGATCATTGTCATGCTGAAAGACCCAGCCACGTTTCATCTTCAATGCCCTTGCTGAAGGAAGGAGGTTTTCACTCAAAATCTCACGATACATGGCCCCATTCATTCTTTCCTTTACACGGATCAGTCGTCCTGGTCCCTTTGCAGAAAAACAGCCCCAAAGCATTATGTTTCCACCCCCATGCTTCACAGTAGGTATGGTGTTCTTTGGATGCAACTCAGTATTCTTTGTCCTCCAAACACGACGAGTTGAGTTTTTACCAAAAATTTCTATTTTGGTTTCATCTGACCATATGACATTCTCCCAATCCTCTTCTGGATCATCCAAATGCACTCTAGCAAACTTCAGACGGGCCTGGACATGTACTGGCTTAAGCAGGGGGACACGTCTGGCACTGCAGGATTTGAGTCCCTGGCGGCGTAGTGTGTTACTGATGGTAGGCTTTGTTACTTTGGTCCCAGCTTTCTGCAGGTCATTCACTAGGTCCCCCCGTGTGGTTCTGGGATTTTTGCTCACCGTTCTTGTGATCATTTTGACCCCACGGGGTGAGATCTTGCGTGGAGCCCCAGATCGAGGGAGATTATCAGTGGTCTTGTATGTCTTCCATTTCCTAATAATTGCTCCCACAGTTGATTTCTTCAAACCAAGCTGCTTACCTATTGCAGATTCAGTCTTCCCAGCCTGGTGCATGTCTACAATTTTGTTTCTGGTGTCCTTTGACAGCTCTTTGGTCTTGGCCATAGTGGAGTTTGGAGTGTGACTGTTTGAGGTTGTGGACAGGTGTCTTTTATACTGATAACAAGTTCAAACAGGTGCCATTAATACAGGTAACGAGTGGAGGACAGAGGAGCCTCTTAAAGAAGTTGTTACAGGTCTGTGAGAGCCAGAAATCTTGCTTGTTTGTAGGTGACCAAATACTTATTTTCCACCATAATTTGCAAATAAATTCATTAAAAATCATACAATGTGATTTTCTGGATTTTTTTTCTCAATTTGTCTGTCATAGTTGACGTGTACCTATGATGAAAATTACAGGCCTCTCTCATCTTTTTAAGTGGGAGAACTTGCACAATTGGTGGCTGACTAAATACTTTTTTCCCCCACTGTGTATATATATATATATGTATATATATATTAGTTTAGTTGTTTTAAGGTTATCTTGTCTCACTGTCACTAAGCACGTATGGGGTGGTGTGATCGTTGAGGTTGTTTTTTTCGAGGGCTGGTTGCAATGGCCACTCGCGGAGGGTTGTGGTTTGAAAAAGTTAGTCGGCAGCATGAAGTAAAGATTCCTGCTGCGGCAGGGTGTTCCGTGGAAGAACGTAGCTTAGCAGTGGGTGCTATCATTGGGTATGATATAATAAAATCAGCCTTGAGGATGAATAGTGCATATTCTTAGATTCCATTGAAAAGGTGAATGCGATAGTTGAGAGTGGTGTTGTGTTGCGGGAGACACAGACGTCGGTATTTCGTCTTATGAATCCGGCGAAGGAAGTTATACTTTCTAACGTGCCACCATTTGTTAGAGATGAAGTGTAGGAGCGAGAGTTATCTCGTAATGGTCAACTTGTATCTACAATAAAAATGGTTCTTTTTAGATGCAAATCTCCTTTGCTGAAACATGTCGTGTCTCATTGGCGACAAGTGCATCTGATTTTAAAGAAGGATAGTGACGAACTGAATTTAGCGTTCAGTTTTAAGATTGACGGATTTCATTATGTGATCTATGCCTCTACTGAATCAATGAAATGCTTTGGCTGTGGAAGAGAGGGGCATTTGATACGTTATTGTCCCGAGAATGAGCTTGCAGAGCCCGGTAGCAGCTTTAGGCGCTGGTGCAGCTAATGCACCACAGCGAAGGGATGAACATTCTAAGGGTGCAGGGGAAGGGAGAAGGTGGGCAGATGTGGTTGGAAAAGTAGGAAAGGAAAGCAGTGTGGCTACGGGGGCAATTGTGGTAGATCAGAACAAAGAGGGAGGGGAAACCGCCGGTGAGACCGTGACTGGGGTCGCTGAGTCGGTGCTGGAAAATGAAATTAGAGGTCAAGAGGAGATTGAAACAATGGAAAATGAAGCAGCTGTTTTCAAAGTACCGAGGAGTAAGAGGAAGAATTTAAGGGGTGGTGAAGGGTCTAGAGCAGGGGTGTCAAACTCATTTTAGCTCAGGGGCCACATGGAGGAAAATCTATTCCCAAGTGGGCCGGACCGGAAAAATCATGGTCTATATAACTTAAAAACAACAACTTCAGATTGTTTTCTTTGTTTTAATACGATCAACATACAACATAAAGCTGGAGCCTGAGGACAGTGTGTCCAAAATAGTACAAGCACAACATTACTATTAATCATAAAACACGTCAAGTTTATTTGAAAATTCTAAAGAAAAAGAACACACAAACACACAATGCCTCAGTGATTAACAGAACTGTTTCACAGATCACAGAACTATATCAGGGTGTCATTTCTCAGGCAGAAATGTAGATAAAAATAATGAAATCCTGTTCCCCAAACAAGTGCAAGAACCACAGAGTCAAGAATAGGTTAAATATACAAATAAAATCAATTAAAAACAATAGCACATCAACATAAAAACATATAAACATAAAGCTGGAGCCTGAGGACAGTGTCCAAAAGCACAACATCACTATTAATCATAAAACACCTCAAGTTATTTGAAAGTTCTGAGGACAAAGAACACACAAACACACAATGCCTCAGTGATTCACAGAAGTATATCACAGATCACAGAACTATATCAGGGTGTCATTTCTCAGGCAGAAATGTAGATAAAAATAATGAAATCCTGTTCCCCAAACAAGTGCAAGAACCACAGAGTCAAGAATAGGTTAAATATACAAATAAAATAAAATCAATTAAAAACAATAGCACATCAACATAAAAACATATAAACATACATCTGAAAGCGTTGCTCAAACTCCCGTAACAGTCCCGTTATTTTATCTTTGAACCGCTTCATGTCTGCCACATGTTGGGTCGCGCACACATTTTTCAGACAGGGGAAGTGAGCTGCATCACCACCGGCAAGTTGCGTCTCCCACAATGACAGCTTCAACTTGAAAGAACGTATGCTGTCATAATACTGCGTGACAACTTTGTTGCGCCCTTGCAGCTGTTTGTTCAAGTTATTCAGGTGCTCTGTAACATCCACCATAAATGCAAGGTCCTGCATCCATTCTGCGGAATGAAATTCTAACACTGGTTTGCCCTTTTCTTCCATGAACTGTTCAATTTCTTCTCGTAAATCAAAGAAACGCCTCAGCACAGCACCTCGGCTTAACCATCTTACCTCAGTGTGGTATGGCAGGCCATAGATGTGGTCTTTCTCTCTGAGAAGGCTGTCAAACTGACGGTAATTCAGGCTTCTGGATCGGATGAAATTAACAGTTTGGATGACCACCTTCATGACGTTATCCATCTTTAATGACTTGCAACACAAAGCCTCCTGGTGCAAAATACAGTGAAAAGTAAAAAAATCACATCCTCCATTTGCAGATTGCACTTTCTCTCTGAACTTTGTCACAACGCCTGCTTTTTTCCCGATCATTGAGGGCGCACCATCTGTAGCCAGGCTGACAGCGCGGGACCAGTCCACTCCGACCCTGTCCAGCGCGCCGACGAGTGCGGTAAAAATATCAGCTGCTGTCGTTGTATCTGTCATCGGCACCAACTCCACAAACTCCTCGGTGACGGTCAATGTGTCATCAACTCCGCGGATGAAAATGGCCAGTTGTGCAACATCTGTAATGTCCGTGCTTTCATCAATTGCAACCGAAAACGCAATAAATGACTTTACTTTTTGCTTCAACTGGCTGTCCAAATCCACTGAAAGATCGGAAATCCTGTCTGCAACTGTGTTTCTTGTCAGGCTGATATTTGCAAAAGCCTGCCGCTTTTCAGGGCACACAATCTCCGCTGCCTTCATCATGCATGTTTTTACAAATTCACCCTCACTAAATGGTTTTGAAGCCACTGCGATTTCATTAGCAATGAGGTAGCTAGCTTTCACTGCAGCGTCACTGATGTCTCAGCTGTGAGTAAACACAGACTGCTGTTTCTTCAGACCCGCCAACAGTTCATTCACCTTCTCTCATCTCCGCTGTCCTTGAAAGTTGTCATATTTGTCGGCATGAAGACTCACATAGTGGCGACAAAGGTTATATTCTTTCAGCACTGCAACATGCTCTGAACACACCAAACATACAGCTTTCCCATTCAATTCCGTGAATAAATAGGATGACCATTTTTCTTGGAACACTCTGCACTCTGCGTCCTCTCTTTTTTGACAGAGACATATTGGGGCAATGAGGGTGCCAAAGCACATAATGTTAAAAGTAGAAGCCGTAATAAATATCGCGGGCAAAACAAAGTAGCTCATTGGCTGCACGTGCTTGACCTACTTGCTCTGCCCCGGTATAAACAGTTTGCTTGCTTAACACAATTGCTATTGCGCCATCCAGTGGACGCAATTGGAACAGCAGTTTATTTTATTGAACAATTGCAGCGCATTTTTATACTTAATTTATTTATTTATTATTATTTATTTATTTTCCGAAATCATCTCGCGGGCCGGATTAAACCCGTTTGCGGGCCTGATCCGGCCCGCGGGCCGTACGTTTGACACCCCTGGTCTAAAGGTTTGGCGCATAATGAAGGTGTCCAGACGCACTCCAGCGGAGTCAGTGGATTGGCTGCTGGAGGAACCTCTGGTGTATGGGGCAAGACTGGATTGTACAACTGCAGCTGTTCCACATTTCTCCAATATTCTGGTGAAGGGCAAAATCATCACCCTAAAACAGTTAATGGCCATGGCTGGGCCCACCTTAATGGATGGAAGACGGGTGGCTGAACATTTAGGGGTGAGGTCGGAAAGGATTGTCGGACAACTGCTGGGAAGGCTCTGTCAGCAGAAGAGTGGTTTACGCTTAATAGTCACAAGAAGAAAGTACAAGATGAAAACGTCTCATTTCCAAGACTGAGGATTACACCCAATATCCCAGAGTCAGAAAGAAAGGCGTTATTACTGGATTTGAGAGGGTTGGAAGAGGTGGGTTTGGATGAGGTGAATGGGAAATACAGTGGGGAAAACAAGTATTTAGTCAGCCACCAATTGTGCAAGTTCTCCCACTTAAAAAGATGAGAGAGGCCTGTAATTTTCATCATAGGTACACGTCAACTATGACAGACAAATTGAGAAAGAAAATCACATTGTAGGATTTTTTATAAATTTATTTGCAAATTATGGTGGAAAATAAGTATTTGGTCACCTACAAACAAGCAAGATTTCTGGCTCATACAGACCTGTAACTTCTTCTTTAAGAGGCTCCTCTGTCCTCACTCGTTACCTGTATTAATGGCACCTGTTTGAACTTGTTATCAGTATAAAAGACACCTGTCCACAACCTCAAACAGTCACACTCCAAACTCCACTATGGCCAAGACCAAAGAGCTGTCAAAGGACACCAGAAACAGAATTGTAGACCTGCACCAGGCTGGGAAGACTGAATCTGCAATAGGTAAGCAGCTTGGTTTGAAGAAATCAACTGTGGGAGCAATTATTAGGAAATGGAAGACATACAAGACCACTGATAATCTCCCTCGATCTGGGGCTCCACGCAAGATCTCACCCCGTGGGGTCAAAATGATCACAAGAAGGGTGAGCAAAAATCCCAGAACCACACGGGGGGACCTAGTGAATGACCTGCAGAGAGCTGGGACCAAAGTAACAAAGCCTACCATCAGTAACACACTACGCCGCCAGGGACTCAAATCCTGCAGTGCCAGACGTGTCCCCCTGCTTAAGCCAGTACATGTCCAGGCCCGTCTGAAGTTTGCTAGAGTGCATTTGGATGATCCAGAAGAGGATTGGGAGAATGTCATATGGTCAGATGAAACCAAAATAGAACTTTTTGGTAAAAACTCAACTCGTCGTGTTTGGAGGACAAAGAATGCTGAGTTGCATCCAAAGAACACCATACCTACTGTGAAGCATGGGGGTGGAAACATCATGCTTTGGGGCTGTTTTTCTGCAAAGGGACCAGGACGACTGATCCGTGTAAAGGAAAGAATGAATGGGGCCATGTATCGTGAGATTTTGAGTGAAAACCTCCTTCCATCAGCAAGGGCATTGAAGATGAAACGTGGCTGGGTCTTTCAGCATGACAATGATCCCAAACACACCGCCCGGGCAACGAAGGACTGGCTTCGTAAGAAGCATTTCAAGGTCCTGGAGTGGCCTAGCCAGTCTCCAGATCTCAACCCCATAGAAAATCTTTGGAGGGAGTTGAAAGTCGTGACGTGTACCTATGATGAAAATTACAGGCCTCTCTCATCTTTTTAAGTGGGAGAACCTGCACAATTGGTGGCTGACTAAATACTTTTTTTCCCCACTGTACTTATATAGGGGGTGTGTCAAGGTTTTTAATAAAGATGCATTGAAGAATAGAAAATACTTGGAGGGTAAAACTGGGCATTGGTGACGAGGTAAAGCCAGCATGGAGAGCACTGTACAAGCCACCGTTACAGAAGGGCACTGGTGACATGCAATGGAAGGTTTGCAGTTAATGCTTTTGTTTCTGTTATTAACTCAGATGTTGGAGATAGATGTCCTTTTTATAACATAAGAGAAACAAATTGTCACTGTTTTATAGAGTGTGAGAGGATAAAGCCTCTCTTTGAAATACTGGAGTCTTTGTTTACAGCTGTAGGGGAGATTTTCAATAACACTGTTTTTATTTTGGGGTTTCAATCTAATAAGCAACAGAAAAGAAAATATCAACTGTTACATTTTATTTTGGGGCAAGCTAAGATGTACATTTTTCTGAGTAGGAAACATAAGATAGAAACGGGATATGGGCAGGATGTAAGATGTGTTTTTAAAGGATTAGTCAAAGCAAGAATAAAAGTGGATTTTGAGTTATTTTCGGCTGTAAAAGATCTCCCATTGTTTGAGGAGAGGTGGGTTTACGAAGGAGCGGTGTGTTTTGTGGAGAAGGGGAAACTATTTTTTGTTGAAGAAATTAGTTGAATGTATATGATTTTTTATTTTATTGTATTTTTTGTTTTAAAAAAAATAAATAAATAGGAATGACACATTTGTTGTTTAATTTCTGAAAAGGCACAAAGTGTCATTATTTGTGTTAATTATTAAGTATAAAATAAAGGTTTTATAAAACTCACTCTCTCTCTCCCCCCTCTCTCTCACTCCCTCTCTCTCCGCCCTCTGCCTCTCTCTCTCTCCCTCCCCCTCTCTCTCTCTCCCTCTTTCTCCCCCTCCCCCCCCTCCCCCTCTCTCTCCCCCTCTCTCTCTCTCCCCCCCTCCCCATTCTCTCCCCCTCTCTCTCTCCCCCCTCTCTATCTCCCTTCTCCAGTGATAACAGAGTTGGATGGTCTGGCGAAGGGTCAAGAGAGCTGCGGAGGCTCCGGCGGTGTTCGTGGCGGCGGCGGTGGTTCCCGTGGTAACCCTGGCGGTGGGGGAGCGGCCCATGCACGGGCGGTCCAGGAGAAGGCCAAGGTTGCCGTGGCGTTTTTGGAGCGAGGGTTCGAGGCCAGGGAGCCCTGTCTCAGAGCGCTGACCAGCAGAGGAAGTCAACTGGAGTCCATCGCCTTCCGCAGCGAAGACACCTCCGGACAACAGGTGTGTGTGTGGGGAGAGAGAAGGGGTGTGTGTGTGTGTGTGTGTTTTAAGGTGTGTATAAGCACCCATATCCTCTGTTAAGAGAGCAGTGTTTTACCATCTCTAGTATGTGAATTAGTTTGGAGCAGTCTGACTGCATATCAATGTATTTTCATCCAGTTTTGGGCTGTCGTTGAAAATCAGCTTTAGATTTACCGGTCGCTCCCCGCCCCCTACCTCCCTTTCTCTCTCTCCAGGGGAACAATGATGATGTCATCTTGTCCTGCTGTCTCCACTACTGCAAAGACAAGGCTAAGGACTTCATGCCTGCACAGAGAGGTAGATAAAAACCTTGCACACCACCACACATTTACATCATGCCTGATTTGTCTATACTTTTATATTAACCCCCCTCTTTCCCTCTATCTTCTCCTCCCCCAAACTCCTCTCCCCCCCACTTCTTCTCCACCATCCCCCCAACCTCTGTTCCCTCCGCTCCTCTCTCTCCCCTCCCCTCCCAACCTCTGCACCCCTCCTCTCTCCCCTCCCCTCCCAACCTCTGCACCCCTCCTCTCTCCCCTCCCCTCCCAACCTCTGCACCCCTCCTCTCTCCCCTCCCCTCCCAACCTCTGCACCCCTCCTCTCTCCCCTCCCCACCCAACCTCTGCACCCCTCCTCTCTCTCTCTCCCCAACCTCTTCCCCTCCTTACCCCCCCTCCCCTCCTCTCCCCAACCTCCTCTCCCCTCCCCAACCTCTACCTCTCTCCACCCCTCCCTCCCCCCCTCCTCTCTACCAGACGGTCCGGTGCGGTTGCGTCGGGAGGTGGTTCTTCTGACAGATGACCGTAACCTGCGGGTCAAAGCCCTGACCAGGAATGTGCCGGTCAGAGACATCCCCTCCTTCCTCACCTGGGCCAAAGTGGGCTGAACCGGGTCACACATTAGACCACGCCCAGAGGACCTAAACAACCAATCAACTGCTGAGAACCGCTGGCCACCTCCCACACCATCGGAGTGGAGGAGGAGCCTAGAAACTAATGCAGAAGAGAAGACTGATGGAGAGAGAGAAGAAAAATGGAAACTAAAAAGCATTTTTTTTTTGTGGATTGAGTTTAATGGGCTGAGAGCTTTTTACCCTCTCGTTGTGATGAGGTGTGTGTGTTAACCACTTAGCTCATGGAGCGAGAGAGAGCGGAGGGAGGGAAGGAGGAGAGGAGAGGAGCAGGGAGAGTTTTAAGAGATGCAGGAAGGCTGGACCAGGAGGAGAGGTAGAAGACAGAAGGAGGAGAGGTAGAAGACAGAAGGAGGAGAGGTAGAAGACAGAAGGAGGAGAGGTAGAAGACAGAAGGAGGAGAGGTGTGTGTTCATTTCTGGTTTCTCCAGTCCAGCCATGCGTTGTGTGTAACTTCTGCAGTGTGTTCCCAAGGCCAGCGGCAATATTTACCTCTGTGGAGATGACTGAGAGGAAGAGAGACATGGAATAGAGAGGGTTGGGGAGGTTAGGACTGGACGACGGAAGGCCCTAGCCTGACTGAGAAGTCAGGGTCTGTTTGACTGACAGCTGTCTGGAACCCCAGAGCAGCACAGACAGAGAGGCTCTGTAGGGGGGGTGGCAGGGGAGGGAGGTTGTAGTGTTGGGGTACCTTCATCAACCCACCCTCCTCCAGGTCCCCGTGACCCCGAGCCACACTCTCAGCCTCTGATGACCCGGAAGTGGTCCGTTTCAGTTCCTGTAAACCCATGAAGTGATTTGCATCTCAGTTGCCAAGCAACAGTGTTGGGCGATGTTGTTGCCCCCAGCAGCTTGTGTTGACTGACAGTCATTCCCAAGGCTTCTGTAAAGGAACAGCTTTAAAGACAAAGAAAAAATACTTTGTATTTTTTAGTATTGTGCTGTTGGTGGGTGTGTGTTGTTTCTGAGTTGGCTGGTGTATCCATTGTGTGTGTGATGTTTATACTCTACAGAAGAGCTTGTCTGGCAAGTTAGTGTTCTCACTCACCTACCCTTTTGGTTTGTTGTTTTTAAACATTAAGAAATTATAATGAGATTGAAAGTTAGTTTTAGTTCATCGTATATTTTGTGTTTGTTTCCCTTTAGTTTTTACCACCACCTATGGGTAACTCATCAGCTCCTTCAGCTTCTATAAATTATATATCTATGTTCATTCTAAGCGCAGAACTCTGTGCTGCTCTGTTTCTTTATGAGTGGCTAAGACCCAGGCTGCGTCCAAAATGATACCCTACGGGCCCTGGTCAAACGTCTATAGGAAACAGGGTGCCAACCGGGTGCCAATAGGGTTCTGTAGCACAACAGTGTGCACATGTAAACAAGCTAGTATGATAAGTGTGTTTACCACAAACGTGCGTGTGTGTGTGTGTGTGTGTCAGAGTACACAACATATGCACTGCGTCAGACAGACAGTCTTTTCACAACCGTAAAATGTCCCACACAATGTAAACAAAGATGACATCTGTGAATGACATACCTGACGTAATATGTTCAGTGAGAATGTGTAATGGTTTATTACGCATGCTGACGTTAAACGTGTTACCAGTTCTAATCTGTTCACCAGACGGCACAAGTTAGTTGGCTTTTATCTGTTTATACCTGTCTATGACAGTAACACGCAGACATACACACAGTTGAGTCATTTCACAAAGCTGTAAACATCAGTCTTGTTAGCCAAGTCTATGAACAACTATAGATAGACTTGGTATAAATGAGTTGAGACTCTCGATCATTTGATCTTTACCTTTGTGTGTGTGTGTGTGTAAACTCAATTTATTCAAGAATATTTGCCGAAACCATAGCTAGTTAACTTGTTGATCCCACTTGTTTAGGAATCTTTGGGTGCGTCCCAATGATCTCTCCTTTCTCCCGAAGTGTGCCCTTTGTGGGAGGGATTGGTGAACGAGTGCACACTTCAGGAGGAAGGAGAGATTCCCGGGACGCCCCCTCTCTCTACTCGTATTATTCTGTTCTGTCTATATGCTGGGGCCGACCGCAGGCCTGCATGTACTATCCTATCACAATGCTTTTTCATTATTTTCCATTAGTTGTTTGAATAAATGATGTTTTGATTCAAATCAGTTTTCTGTTTATTTATTTATGTTTACGTGTGTGTGGTGTACGATGATGGGTTTACATCACGTGTCAAACTCATTCCAAGGAAGGCCAAGTACCTGCGGGGTTTTCACTCCTCCCTTGTACTTGATTGATGAATTAAGGTCACTGATTACGTAAGGAACTCCTCACCTGGTTGTCTAGGTCTTAATTGAAAGGAAAAACTAAAAATCCGCAGACACTCGGCCCTCTGTGGAATGAGTTCGACATCATTGGTGGTTTGTTGTGTCTGGCAACGCATGTCGCGTTAGAATGACATCATCTAACGCGTACCATGGACCCAACAATTCTGTGTTTTCATTGGCTAGCAATGTATTACCCCCCGCCTCTGGCTGGATTTCATTGAGTCCTCAACATGTCACTGTTTCGTCGACCAGGAAGCAGATATGGAATATGGAAAGAAAATGGCTTCCGCTACATTCTACAGCCACAAAGTCCAAATTGGCTAAATCGTAAAAATTGTTTTGCTTTTTGGTCTTAATTTAAGGTTAGGTTTCAGGAATAAGGTTAGCAGTGTGGTTAGTGTTAGGTTTAAAATCACATTTTAAGAAGATAAATTGTAGAAATAGGCGTGGTTTATGACTTTGTGGCTGTGGTAACTAGTGACAACCGAAGTAAATCGATAAGGGGAATAGGACTCATGATGCCAGGTCGGTAGAGGAAGCCCAGACAGTTTGCTTTTGGGTAGGTCGAGTACAGGTTGTAGCATGTCCCTCGAGGAGGGAAGAAAGAGATTTTGACTTGGAAAAGTGGAATATTTTCAGGAGTTGGGTAATTGGTTAAGGGAGGAGGATTGGAGGGAAAGCGAGAAGAGATTGAAAAGACTGAGGGAGGCAGAGGATAGGGTTAAATCTGTTGAAGGGTATGTCGAGGAAAATTGGTGTCAAGTTCAAACAGAGTGAGCCGGACGCCAGTTCGAGTTCTGGAGGTGAAATGAAAGATGGGGAAGGTGTGGTGAGGAGCCCGAGCCTTGCATCGATGGACATGGTTATGATAGAGAAGTTTGGCCCAGTAGGAGTGAGATTTTTGAAGAGGGTGGATCCAGGCCTTTTGGCTGATCCATGGGTGGTTTCAGGTTGGGTGGAAAAGATGGTGGGTGCTGTTGAGTCGGTGAAGGTAACCCGAAGTGGACTTGTGATGTTTGTTTGCGTTTCTTCAGATCAGAGGGAGTAGGTGCTCCGTGCGACGCAACTTAGGGAAAGACATGTATCTTGCTTTACGCTTAGGTACAGGGCACCATTGAAATGAGTGATTTCTGGTATAAGTGTTAAGTGTGGAGGTGGTGCTATTGAAGTTGAAGATTCCTGGTGTTTGTGACGCTCGCCATTTGGTGCGACGCAGACCCGGCGGAGAGCGTGGTGAAACAGAGGTGAAACGCCGTCTGTTCTTTTGAGCTTTGATTGAGTCTTTACCTGACAAAGTAACGTTCGGATATATTATGAGTTATGGTGCTAGAGCTTTTGTACCGAATACACTGCGGTGTTACAGGTGTCACGTTTGTGGGCAATGCCGCAGCAGTGTGTAGGAGGCAGATTCCAAGATGTGGGAAGTGTGCAGGAGGACATGGGACAGAGGAATGTGTAGTTTCGGTGGAAAAAGTTGTGTCAACTGTAGGGGTACATGTTGTTGGAGATCGGAAGTGTCCGGTGTGTGAGAGGCAGGGGGGGGGGGGGGGGGGTCCTGAGAGGAGTGGTGTGAGTAGTAGAGCTGTATCAGTACAGAGGGATAGGCCAACGAGTGGTATATGCTTCAGTAAGATTGGATTTTTAGCGTTTATAGTAATGGTTATCAACTGTACTGCAGGGATGGAACGTATGTCGCAGAAAACTGAGGTTGTGGTGGCAGCTTCAAATAAGTATTTGGGTGTACGAGATTTGACGTCAGAAGAGTTACAGGGTGTGTTGAATGGTGGTGTCCTAGACAGATTAGGTGGAGTATGGTGGTGGGATTTTCATGAGTGTAGGGTTAGATGGTAGGGTAATCTGTGCCACTCGGTCACGTTGTCAACAAAGCAGCATAAAATAAATGTTAGAATTTTCAAACTAGTTTTCATTGGGAAGGCAGATAAAGCGTTAAAAAAATAAAAAGCAATCACTTTTGCATGTGAAAATACAGAATCCTACTCATTACACACGTTCTTAATTATGTCACTTTTATTTTGAGCCGACCCTGACCATCCACTCAAGAAAACATCGTCTCGCGGCTGAATCTAGTTGATGATCCCTGGACTAGGGTCTGATTTTATGGTGCTTTCAAGACAACTGGGAACTCTGAAAATTAACGATTCAAATCGTGATGTCAGTGATCTTCAGGTCGGAATGTCAGCGCTCTAGAAAGATGCCAGAGTCTAATTGGAATGAATGGCAGTAGAGGCATAGGGGATGCATTTCCGGCTTGTGATATCAGAAATTGTGTAATAGAATGATTGTCAACCTAAAACACTGTCATATGATGTAAATATAGTATAGAGGTTTTATATTTGTATTTCCTGTAGAAATATATCTGTAGAAATATATCTAATTCTCGATGTCTCAATTTGTTTTTTTCTTGGAAATCTGTGAGTGATCTTATATGATACAATATCAGTACTTGTTGCATTTACAACTTGTCTAAGTCCTATCATCAACCATAACTCCTAATTCTAGATCTCTTAACAAAAATAGTCCAGATGTGCATTCCAAGAGGCTCCCGTTTTTCGGCGATCATGTTCCCTAGTGAGAATGTCAGTTGGTTTGAATAAATATTCCAAAATGTTGCGGTGAAGCTGGAAAGACCTCCTTTCTGTACGGATTACTGTCTTTTTA